AAAATTTAAAAAGAAAAATTAATACTAATGCCTACCTTCCAGGGTGTATTTGATTAGTACATACGAAGCACCTAGAACAGTACCTAGCACACAGTCAGTGCTCCATAATTGCTGCTATTGTTGATGTTCCTATTATCTCAGCCTGTTCCTTGGCTGCCAACATGCAATGTCAACTGCATTTGTGTCTCACCCAGACCCCTCTGAACTCCAGTCTGTACATCCCACCGCCCCAGCATCACCCGTGGTTATCAGCACATCTGCAACGAAATACTCGATTTCTCAAGAACCCCTCATCCTCTCTCCGACCTCATCTCCCCTTCATTCTCTCCTCTCCAGCCATTCTAGCCTTCCTGCTGTTCCCCAAACACACAAAGCCCCGTTCCACCTCAGGGTCTTTGCACTTGCCGTTGCCTCTGCCTGGAACGCTCCTTCCCAGCCTTTTGTGCAGCCAGATCCTTTGCCCTCTTCTTGTCTCTGCTCAGATATCACCTTCTCCTAGAAGCCTTCCCTGACCACCTCCACTAGGGAAGGCTTTCACCTCCTCTTCCCTGTCACCACAACCTGTTCTTCATCTTCAAAGTACTTAGTGCTGTTACTTGTTAATTGTTGAAGTGTATCCCTTTCCCCATAAGGCCACAAACCCCATGGAGACAGGAAATGGCATCTGTTCTTTCACGAGTATATCTCAGTGTGCGGGGCTTGACCACTCGAGGCACCTCTGAAGTGTTTGTTTAGAGAATTCGTGGCAGAAAAGCAAGGGAGGCTCTGGACTCTTGCTATCCTTATAAAAATGACACTCTTAAGCCGGGCTCGGTGGCTCAGCCTGTAATCCCGTGCCTTTGGGAGGCTGAGGTGAGTGGATTGCCTGAGCCCGCGGGTTCGAGGCCCGCCTGGGCAGCGAGACCTCATCTCTACAATCAATCAAAAAATCAGCCGGGCATGGTAGCGCATGCCTGTAATTCCGGCTACTCGGAAGGCTGAGGCGGAAGGATCACCGGAGCCCAGCAGGTTGAGGC